GGGGGGCATTATGTCTTTAGTTCTTACATGCACAGTAGAATTGTAATTGTAAATGGGCTGATTCATTAAATGTCATGCTCATCACTGTGCCTGAACTGCAAAAGCGAACTGCTGCTTTTTCTTTCCTAATCCTTACTATCGTCATTTTCCTCTACTTCTTTTGTATGTTTGTTACACTACATGTACTCTTGTGAAGTCTTGTGGCCCGCTATTTCCGGGGTGCCTTGATGATAATGATAGTCGAGGTAGACTTTATGCTGGTGAAGCTAGAGAGGTGAGCAGAGTTAGTCGATCTGATTCCCTGTAAGGACTTCTCTGTTGACAGCCACCCCTTGGCGCTCATATGGTCTTTTATGCAGTTGCGAGCACCGTAAAACCTCTTTTAAAACAAAACAAATATACAGAAAATTGAGGTAGCCAACGCAGTACCAGTACTAATACTGAGGGTAATTTGCCATTTATAACAACAACAACAACAACAACAACAATAACAACAACAACAACAACAAAAAGAAGGTTCATTCAGATGTCTGGATTCTAGATGTAATGTTTCATATGATCGTCGGTCGTGGCAAGTTGGAGCGGGGGCGCGCAAAAAAAAATAAAAAAAATTAATAAGCGCGGAGGGGGTGGGGGAGGGGGACGCTTATTTTATACCTTAGAGTAGGCTAGGCATAAAAGTAAACGAACAAGAATGTATATGATTTCTGTCTAGAAGCCAAGCAAATAGCTAAAAATTAATTACACAACGACATATGCGAGCCACGGCATAGGCCTGTACACATGTTCAAGGCATCCGCTTTAATTGCAGTTGAAATGTTTTTAATTTTTTTAAGGTTCGTTTATTCATTTTTTTATTTTTGGTAGGTGCTTTATGGCGCTTGCAACTGCTTAATGTCATAGGAGCGCGTGGGACACATTAAACATTTTCAGTTTGGTAGGAAAAATTTTGGATTTTGCCTCGGTGGTGGCCGAAGCCTACTACATAGCTCTTATTGATTTTGGACAACCAAGGAATCTTTTTTCGTCCGCAACGTGACTTTCTCACGAGACCTCCGAGATTTTTCGCCCTTATACGAGAAGGCTAGGTGTGTTCAATAATCTTACCTACCATATGAGATCAGGGGTATGTCAAAAAAAATTACAGCAGTAAGAAGGAGCCACGGAGTAACAGGAGAAAGGCAGCAGAAAGAGCCAGGAGCCTAGAGGAAGGGGCAAAAGGAG